GGAGCCACCGCCACCGCCGCCGCCACTGCCAGGAACCCAACCACCCCCACCGCCGCCGCCACCACCACCTCCTGGCACAGATGGACTGGTGCCTCCGCCACCCCCACCGCCTCCGGGAGGTCCCTCTGATGCTCTTGGAGGGCCTGGCCCAGAGATGGGCCCAGGTGAGTGGACCACCCAAAGCTGGGGGAGAGAGGGGGTGGGGCCCTGGCCTCCCCGCCTTCCAAGACCCTCTCCTGCTGCCTCCTGCCTGCCCTGTCAGGCCTCGCTGGGCCCCGGTTCCCTCCAGCCACTCCATTCTCTATGGCCTCAGTACTCACCAGTCTCTCCCTGTCCCAGGAGTGAAGGCCAAGAAACCCATCCAGACCAAGTTCAGAATGCCACTCTTAAACTGGGTAGCCATGAAACCCAGCCAGATCACGGGCACTGTCTTCACTGAGCTCAATGATGAGAAGGTGCTGCAGGTGAGTGTGGCATGGCTTGCTGCCAGTGTGGGCACCAAAGGAGGAAGGGACTTGCCTGAATCATGCTGGGCACTAGGAGTGGTCATCTCTGCCACCCCATTTTACAGATGAGGATATGGAGGCCCAGGGATGGGCATTAAGCCAAACTGGATTAGTGAATCTAGTTGGCAGTGTATCCTTACTCCCCTGGAGGCTTTTCCATCCCTGCAGAGGGGCGGCACATCCCTCCCACAAGTCTGGCCTCTCCTCCTTTCAGGCCCCTCTCCACCACCTTCCCACAAACAGCCCTCCCAGTTCCACTTTCAGTTTTTCAAAAGGCATGTGTTCTCTCACCTCCAGGCTGTTCCCTCTGCCTGGAATGCCCTTCCTTTCCCCTGTTTAACCCTGGCCAATTCAGCTCTCCTTCAGCTAAACTGCTTGGAGTCTGGGTCCCCTGAGTTGGGTACTGCTTCTCCTTCTCCTCAACACTCCCTGTGCTCCCCCTGTATCCCCCATCAGGGCCTGTGGTCAAGCTGAATTACTGGCTTGTTTCTCTGCCAGTGGCCAGGTGAGGGTTGGATAGGTGGCTGTAGCACTGACTACAGTGCTCAGCCAGGAATGTACTCGACCCCAGCTCACCCAGCCCCACCTCCTCTCCTTGCACCCTCAGGAACTGGACATGAGTGACTTTGAGGAGCAGTTTAAGACTAAGTCCCAAGGTCCCAGCCTGGACCTCAATGCTCTCAAGGGTAAGGCAGCCCAGAAGGCCCCCAGCAAAGCCACACTCATTGAGGCCAACCGGGCCAAGAACCTGGCCATCACCCTACGCAAGGGCAACTTGGGGGCTGACCGCATCTGCCACGCCATCGAGACGTGAGTACCTCTGCCTTGGGCTTGTGGGAAGCCCAGCCCTTCTGCTAGGCCAGGGCAGTTAGGCAGGTCCTAGTAAAAGAGCCCCAACTATGGGACAGAGCCCACCAAGCTTTATATCAACCCTGGCCAGGCAGTAGGATGGGGAACCTTGTTCCCATTTTTAGGCCGAGAAACTGAGGCAATACTGTGAGTTCATGCCCAGGTTGAGATGTTCCCATTTCCTCCCTGCCTCCTTGCCCAGCTATGGGCACTCAGGCTCAGGCATTTACAACTGGACATCTGCCACTGATGTGCGATGGGGACCCAGGTTTCCCAGCTGCCAACTTTCCTTAACTTTTACCTCTTGTTCCCTGAAACTGTTGGCAAATAGCAAATGCTGAAGTTCATTTATTCAATCAAGGAAGGGGAGGGGATAGTCCTACTCTCAAGAATTGGTGGGTGTGGCATGATACCTACCCCTCTGCCTCCAGGTATGACCTCCAGGCCCTTAGCCTGGACTTCTTAGAGCTGCTGACCCGCTTCCTGCCCACGGAGTATGAGCGCACCCTCATCGCCCGCTTTGAGCAGGAGAAGCGGCCGCTGGAGGAGCTGTCAGAGGAGGACCAGTTCATGCTGCGCTTCAGCCGCATCCCGCGCCTGCCAGAGCGCATGGCCACACTAACCTTCCTGGGCAACTTCCCGGATACCGTCCAGCTGCTCATGCCGGTGTGGGCGGGGCAGGCAGAGTGGTGTGGGTGCGGCCTGGGTTGAGGAGGGAGGAGGCCACCCCAAGCCTGGGCTCCAAGAGGATATTTGGGAGTACTTGAGCCTCTTATGGGCTTGCCCCCACCTAGCCTCAATTTACCTTGCCTTCCCCATCCCACCCCCAGCAACTGAATGCCATCATCGCAGCCTCAATGTCCATTAAGTCCTCTGACAAACTCCGCCAGATCCTGGAGGTAAGAGCCCAGGACAAAGGTCTGGGACGTAGGGTCCACCCTTGACTCCTTGCCTGTTCTGGGTCTTGTTAGAGGGAGACTCAGGCCCTGCCCTGCACACCTAGGATGCAACAAATACAATAGTCCCACTTCTCACATACAGGCTCAGGGTGGGAGTGAGGGCCATGTACAAAAGAATGAACTCTCAGAGTGGGGCAAAAGAATAACCTCTCAGAGCTTATTCTTGCATTTTTATTTATTAATGATTGTATTCAAAGGTGGCTACAACTGTAAACTACTTTTGCCCCACCCTGTAAACAGTATCACACCTCAGGCCCTGCCTTGGGTTACTGTGTGATTAGCAGAGTACCCACACCTGCTCCGTGGAGTCCAGAGAAGCAGTAGAAATGGCTGTTAGAAAGGTGGTGACTCCACAGCCTGGGAAGAGATGTTGGCAGCACAGTTATGGGTAGGAAGAGCAGAGAACAGAATTGGATGTGCCATGGTGTTAGCCGTGCACATGTGCCAAACACGTACACGTGCATGTTCATGTGTCATGGACCTGAAGGGCCCATGCAGGACTGGGCTGAGTGTGGGCTTGCTCTTTGCCACCTTTTCTTGTGCAGTTTATACTTCTGGGGGTTTCCTCAGCTCATTACCCTGCTGGGCTCTTCCCCTGACTCTCCTAGATTGTCCTGGCCTTCGGCAACTACATGAACAGCAGCAAGCGTGGAGCAGCCTATGGCTTCCGGCTCCAGAGTCTGGATGCGGTGAGGGGCGAGAGAAGGGCTCTCTTGGCCTGGGAGGTGGGGGAGGGCTGGTGGCCTGTGGCTTACAACGGGTCATTGCAGCTGCTGGAGATGAAGTCTACTGACCGAAAGCAGACACTGCTGCACTACCTGGTGAAGGTCATTGCTGAGAAGTATCCACAGCTCACAGGCTTCCACAGTGACCTGCACTTCCTGGACAAGGCAGGCTCAGGTATGGGTGGGCAGTACCCCCATCCTTGGGTTGGGGGAGCGGCTCAGCCCTGTGGATTGATATGGGCTGGGAGATAGCAAGGCAACGACAGGATGTAATTGGACAGGAATGCTGCTTCTCTGATTCCCTGCCTCTCTACTGCCCCATCCCCCAGTGTCCCTGGATAGCATCCTAGGGGATGTGCGATCCTTGCAGCGAGGCCTGGAGTTGACCCAGCGGGAATTTGTGCGGCAGGATGATTGCGTGGTGCTCAAGGAGTTCCTGAGGACCAACTCACCTACCATGGATAAGCTACTGGCAGACAGCAAGACAGCTCAGGTGGGCTGGGGCAGGCCGGGCCCTGGAGGTGGGGAGTGTCGGGTGGGGGGGTAAGACAGGCTACCTAGGTGAGGTCCAGTAGCCAGGGCTTGGAGGGATGTGGCCACAGCTGGGAAACCTTGGGGGATGGAGTAGGAGTGAGGGGCCACCTGCCAGGAGCAGCAGAGATACAGTGGCTGGTATCTTAATGGGGGAGTACAGAGCAGTGGTCGGGCTCCGAGGGGCTGACAGGCTGTGTCTGCAGGAGGCCTACGAGTCTGTGGTGGAGTACTTCGGAGAAAACCCCAAGACCACGTCTCCCTCCATGTTCTTTTCTCTCTTTAGCCGCTTCATCAAGGCCTACAAGGTATGTGTTTCTGGTAGGCAAGTTGGGACCACTGAAGGACACCGAAGCCTATCTGTGTGGGCAGTGGGAGGGGTGGGGCTGCTTCTGTCTTGGGAGTGGGATAGGTGAGGGAGACCTCAGCTCATGGAGACCAACCTTGACCCCTCAGAAAGCTGAGCAGGAGGTGGAGCAATGGAAGAAAGAAGCAGCTGCTCAGGAGGCAGGCGCTGAAACTCCAGGCAGAGGGGAACCCCCAGCATCCAAGGTAGGCAGCTGCCGCTGAACTTGACCCTGGGATGCAGGGATGCTTAGTGTTCTCATCCCAAAGGGGTGGCCCACCTCCACACCCTTACTTAAAAATATATATATTTTATTGATTTCAGAGAGGGAAAGGGAGAGGGAGGGAGAGATAGAAACATCAATGATGAGTTATTGATCAGCTGCCTCCTGCTCGCCCCCTGCTGGGGATGGAGCCTGCAACCCGGGCATGTGCTCTCACTGGAAATTGATCCGAGATCTTCTGGATCCTAGGTCTGTGTTCAGCTGCTGAGCCATGCGGGCTGGGCACACATTCTCATTTTTACTGACAGACCCTGCGAGTAGCCTGGGATGGGAATGGGTTCCTTCAACTCAAGCCCCCATTGGGGGCTTGCTGTGGGGGACCAGACAGACAGGATTTGGTGGTGTGTGGAGGAGAGGATCCTGGAACTGGAGCTATATACCCTTCCCCTCCCCCCAGTCCCCACCCAAGGTTCGGAGGCAACAGATGGACCTCATCTCTGAGCTGAAACGGAAGCAGCAGAAGGAACCGCTCATCTATGAGAGTGACCGTGATGGGGCCATTGAAGATATCATCACAGGTGAGGGCTTGGCCAGGACTGTCTCGTCTTTGGTCTACTTCTATGCTGTTCTCCATCTACCTCCCCATCCTGGGGGTCTGGCTGCCTCACTGCCTCTTTGCTACTTTGTCTGTCTTTTTTCTTTTTCTTTTCTCTCCTCGCTCCTTCCTCCTAACCCTCAGTGCTCAAGACGGTGCCCTTCACGGCCCGCACTGGCAAGCGGACATCCAGGCTCCTCTGTGAGGCCAGCCTGGGAGAGGAGATCCCCCTCTAGCTCTCAGGTACCTGGATGGCCTGGCCTCTGATTCCAGTGGCTGCTCATAGCCCTGCAGGTCCTTGGGGAGACTAAGTCCTGCTGCCCGCTCCTGGGACATGCATGCTGGGATGTATTTGAGGGGGTCTGGTAAACACAAGCCCCCTCCCACATGCATACAGCTTGGGTCCCTAGGAGGGTAAGGCCTGTGCTCTGGAGTGGTAGTCCCAACCCTGGGCAGACTTCTGAAGGGTAAATGTGTCCGTCTCCTCTCTGCCAGATCTTCGGAACCAGCCCTATATCCGCACAGACACAGGCCGCCGCAGCGCTCGCCGGCGACCTCCTGGACCCCCCATGCAGGTCACTTCGGACCTCTCGCTGTAGCCTCTATTTCCGCAGATGGACTCTGGGGGGTAGGGGAGGGGGCAAGCCGGGGCTCGAAGAAGGTGGTCCTCAGCTCGGCTGGGCCGGGCAGTCCCTTTGCTGCTGTCCCCAGCGGTGGGCTCACCTCAAATGGACCGGAGCACTCTCATTTTGCTCCAGGGGACAGTATCCCCGGCCCCTCCCCCCAAATGCTGCTTGCAGCACCCTTCTCCCCCCAATAGCCATACTGTACTTAGCCTCAGCGGGAGCCTGGCCTGTAACTTATAAAGTGCAACCTCTTCCTACCCCAACCTGCGGGGATTCTCTATGGACCTTATTTTTATACAAGATTAATAAAGATGTTTGCAAAAGATCTGCATCCGTTCCATGTCCCCACCACACAGCAGCCTGTTTCGTTCAGCAAACGCTTTACTTGTACATGTTCTTCATAGCAGGTATCTGCAAACAGGCAGGAGAAGGGGAAAAGGGCTGCTTCTGCACTAGAGCTGGGGGGGGAGCCAACTTCGAGGGGAGAGTATACTCTAGTGGTTGGTCCTGGAATCCTGCTGGAGGCCGAGGGCGCTGGCCGAGCGTCCAGCCCGTCGTGCGGTTAGAGACGCCGGATTAGCTCCCCTTCAGGGCGCCTTTGTGCCCGCCCCGTCGCGTTTCCACCAGTCCTACTTCCTAGCTGGGTACCCTGCCCTGTCCTTAGTCAAGCCTGTGAGTGACCTCAGATCACATCTCTGACTGCTGGACCTCCGTCTCTGCCGGCCCTGTCCCCATTTCTCGGAGTCCTGCTCCCACTCTTCTTTG